GAACTAGAATGTAGTTTACATAGATTGAGACCAGATATGGAAACTAAATGGGGAGAGGTAGATGGTAAAACCATGGGCTTTCAAGAGAAGGGTAGGCAACTTCCCATATTCCATGCATAGCCATTGCCTTGGGTTTTCAAAATTGGAGAATGTACACATTGCAAGAAAAATCTTATTTTATACTTTTCATGTATGATTTAAAGAAATAACCCAAAAAATAAAAACATGATTATCTACATAGATGTTGATAATTTAAAACAAAATGGAATTTATCATGATTATGGCAATAATGAAAGTGAACATTCTCCCACAAATTATGTTTTTATTGGAACGTGTTCTTGAATAATTACCCACAGTGCAACATTTAAAGAGAACATTTTGATACCTCTTTTTCTCATTGTTCTTTTTTTGTTTACTTTTACATTGTATGAAACATGTTTCATACTTTAATCATATTGACAATTGATTTTTATTCAAGATAATACTAAAACATAATATTATACATGTACAATGTATCAAATACTAGTTTCCACAAAAAATAATAATTTGCAAAAGGTTTTTCATATTTATTTGATTGTATAGTGTCCCTCCCCTCTTTCTATGATTAACATTGTGTTAAAATTTGAATTTAATCGATGACTCATTGAAAAGCTAATTTTTTGATTTTTAATTGATGACATTTTTTACTCCATTTTTAACATTAATTTAAATCAAATTTAATTTCTTTCTTTAAATTTCTTCTTAAAAATTCTAAATAAACTGCATTCATTTGTTTGGATTGATAAATACATACAGAATATCACATCATTATCCCACCGAACGAAGTTCGAGAGGGATATAGGAAAGCCGTCCGTCCGTTCCTCCATCCGTCCGTCCGTCCGTCTGTTTGTCTGGGCGATAACTCAAATACCGTTTCACGGATTTGATTCAAATTTTTTAGGCTTATGCCTTATGGGTGTGGGACCTCTGCTCGAGAATTCAAAATGGCCGCCATTTTTCGTAAAAATGTAATCTTTAATAACTCAAATACTAGTTTGCGGATTTGGTTCAAATTTTATATGCTGATGCCTAGGGACACAGTAGATATGTTCGAGTAAAATTTTTCAAGATGGCGGCTAGATTTCAAAATGGCGGCCATTTTTCGTAAAAAACTTAATCTTTGATAATTCAAATACCAGTGAACGGATTTGGTTCAAATTGTATATAATGATGCCAAGGGACACAGTTGATTTTTTTGAGTTACAATTTTCAAGATAGCCGCTGAATTTCAAAATGGCGTTCATTTTTCGTAAAAAAACGTAATCTTTGATAACTCAAATACCAGTAAACGGATTTGGCTCAACTTTTATATGATAATGCCTAGGGACACAATAGATCTGTTCAAAAAAGAAATTTCAAGATGGCGGCTTGATATTCAAAATGGCGGCCATTTTTCGTAAAAAAGGTAATCTTTGATAACTCAAACACCAATGAACGGATTTGGCTCAAATTTTATATGATGATGCCTAGGGACAAAGGAGATCTGTTCGAGAAAGAATTTTCAAGATCGCGGCTGAATTTCAAAATGGACGCCATTTTTCGTAAAAACGTAATCTTTGATAAGTCAGATACCAGTGAACAGATTTGGCTCATTTTTTATATGATGATTCCTAGGGACACACTGGATCTGTTCGAGAAAATTTTTTTAAGATGGCGGCTGATCTTCAGAATGGCTGCCATTTTTCATTTTCGTAATCTTTGGTAACTCAACTGCCATTCGGTGGGATTTGCTACTCCGTGGAGTTGCTGTTTTTCTAGTTTTGAGTGATATCATTTTTATCTCCGAGTTGATATCAAATATCAACACGAGTGAGAGAAGCGAATGAGTGTTGATATTTGATGTCTACGAGGCGATAAAATGATATCACGAGAAATTATGTGATATTGGGTTTATCCCATGATTACAATCACCTTGTGATGTTCTGATCCAATTTCCAGGACATTGGCACACAATATAAACTAGAAATTAGAATATCAATTGAATATTTGAAGCACTTTATTTTAACAATTAAAAGTAAATAACATGATATAGTTCGTCATAAATACCATTTTTTAATCGTTAGTTAGCAGCCTTCTAATCAAATTATATACACAATCGTAATTCAATACACCGATGAAGCTTAAGTCCTTAAGAGAATAAATTAACGGACCTATTTTCTCAAAAGAGAATAAATTATCTGACCTAATTTCCAACAATAATATGGCGCGAAATGCAAATGTGATATCACACGGATATGCGTGAGATAAACGATATCACACGCATATGAGTTTGATAAACGATTTTCTGGAAAATATCACACGGATTTCAATAATATCAGAAATATCAATAGCTGTTATTGTACAGATAACACATTAATCGTGGGATAAAACCAAATATTTTTATGGAAAGACAGAATAAATATGAATTGGCGCAAATAATTATAAAAAGAGAATATTACACCGGGAATAAAACATCCTGCTACATTTTCTTTTTAAGATAATCGGATTTGGTAAATGTTTATATGTATAAATAATATATCTGGATCTCACTTATTTTCTAATTATATTATATTCATTTCTATATATAATCGAGTATAATGCCGATTATATTTTTTCCTTCATAATTAAGAAATATAGACCAAAGAGCAGGGTTTCTAGTTTCGAATAACACCCAGCTGGTCTCGGCACAAACGTTTTCTGTACCCCGAACGACCGAAGGGAGTGAGGGGTTCGAAAGCTTTTGTGCCGAGACCAGCGGCGTGTTATTCGAAACTAGTAACCCTGCTCTGAGGTCTATATTACGATTCGAACATGAAAACTCACCAAATTGTTTCGAATATTCATCATGGTCCGCCATTACTACGACCCACCGTTATGACGTCACACATTACACGTATTAAACTGGGTTATTAATCTCGATTATAACATACCTATGATGATGTATAGTGCAAAGTGTACACAAAACAGCGGGCCAATATAAGTTTTGAAAAGCCCGCGCCCGCTAACTTTCTGATTGGTCAAGGCGCTGACGCCATAACCAATCAATCGAAGATAAAACTGCTCGAGCAATTTTTCTAAACTCATTTCAATCATTTTCAAACCATTTGTTTGTCAATTCTATAAGAAAACGGTACTCTCTGACCAGTCTACATCATCATAGGTATGTTATAAATCGTTTATGTCACTATCGTGGCACATATGCCCTCGGTTCTCAGAGATCAATGTCCCTCCCAAGGTCGGGCCATATATCACCGAGACCTCGGGCATATATGCCACGATAGTGACATAACCTCTAAATATAACCCAGCTGAAGCATTGACTTTGATTACAGTTTATAGAAGGCGTGAATACAGTCATGTTCGAATATAATATAATAATTTCAATACTGAATGGAAATACTGTATTATTACGCATATTTTTACACAAATATCCGAAAATAAAACATATTTTTATTAATTATTTTATCGATTTTTCCAAGTGTTGATATTCATCGACATTGAAACTGTGAAAATGAAGCCTCCCCATAGTATTATACCGCATTAACTTAATTTTTGCCTCGCCAATTTGACTCTTGCTTCATCTATTTGAATTTGTCTCGCCTATGACTAGCGTATTCTTCCTACACAACTAATACTAATATTTAAATCCTTAAACAACGTCATCATATTGTTTATCCCATGGTTTCATAATCTAACATAACATCTGGTTTTTCTCATCTTGAGATATACAGAACAATAGCAGGGAGCTCTGTCTCCATCTTTGCTTATTCTCTATTAGAAATAATGCCTGCCACGTACGGGACTTAAATATAAAATCGTTTATAAAGTGTCGTGCATATAAGACATACATAATAAAATAATGAAATAAGTGTTCGTAATGTCTATCACATTATACACATGTGTATTGTGTTAAACCCTTTGGAAAAAGACAAGGGAACAACCAGGAGTGCCTTTCATGTTCATCGTCTGTTCTATGACAGCTGATGTCTCGAAGTGGCACTTCCATTTTGTTTCAATGAAGTAAGGAATTTTCTGAGTGGCGGTAACCGTCATACAATGTGCCTACGTCATCGCATCGCTGTTTGGTCTGAGTTAACGCATGGATCTCTTAGACTGTTTAACGGAAAGGTGAAGTGAAACGTGGACCCGTGCCAATATGGATTAACTTCCGATAGTAAAGTAGGATGAAAAAGCGTTCTCGTAAGGTTTTTCCCAAATGAGATTGCTCATATCGATAGTTCCCAATCTCCACTTGAAACTATATAACAAGTCTTTAACTAAACGAACTATCCTACCTTTGTTAGTATTCGAATTGAATAAAAGTAATATACCTCATGCCTAGGTCACATTTGCTCCGATTCATCGGCCGGCACTCGGTCGATTGCAGTAATTTTTAACAAAACTGATTTCAACTTCCTTCAAATGGACCAAACTTTTTTTAATCATGTACAAGTTCTCAGGAGTTGAACACAAATGACCTAAAATTTGAGATTTGACCATCAATTTTGAACAAACTACTCGATAAGCCGTTCGCCGGCCGATGAATCGGAGTCAATGTGACCTGGGCGTTAAAGAGAAAACAAGATCTAGCAAGCAGGGTACAGGAAAATTTAGAATATTTTTGGCTCATTCAAATCCTTGTCATGCCTATTTTCTAAAAATCCCCAAGGTGTCTACTTCAATTCAGAAAAACTAGATATTTTTACAATAATGTATTATTTTTCTAATTTTATGATTAACATTTTTATTATTTGGGAGAGCTTAAATATTATTCACCCATTTTTCAACCATTAACTTCACGAATTTGTAACACATCGTATTCTCCTTTAAAATCTACCTGTTGAGCTCACCTACCCGGAAGCTCGTCCTTGTTGTCACGGAAACAACGAGTCATTGTAGCACGTTAAGACCCAGTAAGACGATAGATCAATACCTCTGAGAAGTTATATAATGACGCAAATTTTAGAAAACCATACGTTGAAATAAAATTTCATCGTACAACAGTCAGCAAGGTAAGTCGACCTTACAGAGGGCGATTTCTACAAGATCTTTATTTTGTTCACTAATTAACAAAAGTACAATGAAGTTCTCGCTTCTTGTACTTTTTGTTCCGTTACTGATCTTTTCTACATCCGTCGAACCCGTAAAATCAAACGAAGACATCGATGTACAAACGACAGAAGAAGACTACGGCCATCCGTATGATTCTTGTACAGAAGATCAACTGGCGGACATTCTTGAGGCACTCAATATCACCAAAGGGAACTTCCTAGGGGACGTCCTTCTCCAGCGAAAGGACATGATAAACTTACTTCTTTCGTTGAAAACACTTAAGAACGCGCCTCATAATAAAGACACTGCCGACAAGGAAGGTCACCTTCAGAAAATTGATTTCAAAGAACCAACATTTCAGCAGCTCCTACAAAATCACAGCTGTAAGGCGACAAAAAGAAACAAAAGAAGCCAAGGGTCTTTGACGAGATCTCGACGCAGTCTTGTAGACACAACTAATAAATGGAATTTTCCAATCCAATATTACATTGAAGGTTCATGTAAGTGTTTCTCAGTTCTTTTCATTCCTTGATAATATGTTTACCGAAAAAAGGTCTGTGAATCTTTGTTTTTATATTTATTAACATAAGGCCTTTGTTCTGAAGCTTTTAAGGGTAAGTACGCTATAACACTGACATCTGAACGTATCTTCTTAACGTATCTTCTTAATATTATACTTTTCATAATTGAGAAAATGATATGACAAATTTGTGATATTAGAAAAGTAAAGATGTTCTTTTGTCACAGTCAGCCAACTAAGTTAAGATATGCTAATTTTGTCAGACAAAGTCAAACTGAGTTAAGATGAACTAATATCATTTTTTTCACACTCAGCCAACTAAGTTAACATGTGCTAATATCATTTTTTCACACTCAGCCAACTAAGTTAAGATGTGCTAATATCATTTTTTCACACTCAGCCAACTAAGTTAAGATGTGCTAAATAGAGGATATCCTATGATTTATGAGTGATATGTTTTTTATCCACGAATGGATATGATATCTGCACGAGCGAGCGTACTGAGAGAGTGCAGATATCAATATCCATGAATGGATTAAAATCATATCACGTGTAAATCATAGGATGTTCTTTTTATTCCATAGTTAAAGTCATCATCAGAATCGTCGGAAATTAAGTTATTTAATTCGAATTTTCCAAATGATCCGGCGACGTTAACACTTAGCCTCGTTTTGAGTCTGAAGTAGCAAAAATCCATAAACCATCGCATACGGCGCCGTATGTCATGGCTAAAAAAACGTATGCTATGGTTAAGTGAAATTTTGTCAAAAATATCATATTTTACCACTGATTACAAAAATACCGTTTTTATTTTCACATGTTATCCAATGAATATCATGCTAACTATGGAATAATATTATTTCTTTCACACTCAGCCAACTAAGTTAAGATGCACTAATATCATTTTTTTCAAATTCAGTCAACTAAGTTAAGATATGCTAATTTTGTCAAACCAATTCAAACTAAGTTAAGATGTGCTAATATTATTTTTTCACACTCAATCAACTAATTAAAGATGTGCTAATATCATTTTTTCACACTCAGCCAACTAAGTTAAGATATGCTAATTTTATCACACCAAGTCAAACTTAGTTAAGATGCGCTTATATTATTTTGTTACACTCAGCAAACTAGTGAAACTTGTGAAAGTACAAAATAAAAATGAAACATTTATTGATCCTTTTCTTTTTCCCTTTGAAGATGATACTGCTGAGAAAGACACGATTCGCGATGGCGTTCAAGCATGGGAGGATAAAACCTGTGCCACGTTTCAAGAGGTCGGCTCGTCACCTGCACCTGGGATCACCTTCTTTTCAGGAAGCGGGTAAGATTAAAAGATATATAATCTACGCATCGGGATCAGATAGAAGATATATATACAGGGTGGGCCAAAAAACGCCACTTTTTTCAAGACACCACAACTTTTTTATTTTCCAACCTATATAACCCTAGGGAACGTTGTGACCGGAGAAAGAAATCACTAATTTTCGAACTGATATAGGTTGTTATGTATCAAATCTTCTAGATTTACCACAATAAAGTACGTCCCTTCTTTTAAGGAAGCGGGTAAGATGAAAAGATATATAATTTACGTATCGGGGATCAGATAGAATATATATATATACAGGGTGGGCCAAAAAACGCCACCTTTTTTTCAAGACACTACAACTTTTTTATTTTCCAACCTATATAGGGAACGTTGTGACCGGGGAAAGAAATCACTAATTTTCGAATTGATATAGGTTGTTATGTATCAAATCTTCTAGATTTACCACAATAAAGTACGTCCCTTCTTTTAAGGAAGCGGGTAAGATGAAAAGATATATAATCTACGCATCGGGATCAGATAGAAGATATATATACAGGGTGGGCCAAAAAACGCCACTTTTTTCAAGACACCACAACTTTTTTATTTTCCAACCTATATAACCCTAGGGAACGTTGTGACCGGAGAAAGAAATCACTAATTTTCGAACTGATATAGGTTGTTATGTATCAAATCTTCTAGATTTACCACAATAAAGTACGTCCCTTCTTTTAAGGAAGCGGGTAAGATGAAAAGATATATAATTTACGTATCGGGGATCAGATAGAATATATATATATACAGGGCGGGCCAAAAAACGCCACCTTTTTTTCAAGACACCACAACTTTTTTATTTTCCAACCTATATAACCCTAGGGAACGTTGTGACCGGGGAAAGAAATCACTAATTTTCGAATTGATATAGGTTGTTATGTATCAAATCTTCTAGATTTACCACAATAAAGTACGTCCCTTCTTTTAAGGAAGCGGGTAAGATGAAAAGATATATAATCTACGCATCGGGATCAGATAGAAGATATATATACAGGGTGGGCCAAAAAACGCCACTTTTTTCAAGACACCACAACTTTTTTATTTTCCAACCTATATAACCCTAGGGAACGTTGTGACCGGAGAAAGAAATCACTAATTTTCGAACTGATATAGGTTGTTATGTATCAAATCTTCTAGATTTACCACAATAAAGTACGTCCCTTCTTTTAAGGAAGCGGGTAAGATGAAAAGATATATAATTTACGTATCGGGGATCAGATAGAATATATATATACAGGGTGGGCCAAAAAACGCCACCTTTTTTTCAAGACACCACAACTTTTTTATTTTCCAACCTATATAACCCTAGGGAACGTTGTGACCGGGGAAAGAAATCACTAATTTTCGAATTGATATAGGTTGTTATGTATCAAATCTTCTAGATTTACCACAATAAAGCACGCACACCTGTTATAACGGTTGACATGGTTATTGTTTACCAATTATCATATAATATCTGAAACACTCGACGAAGGGACCGGTTGCAGTTTTTATAACTGCCTCTCAATGAAAAAATATAAATTCACCTGATATTTTAAAATCAATGTACTGGTTTAATTATTACATATACTGTTTGCATTAGAATCTTGTTGACATTTATTCAGCACCGTGGTTGTATTGATGAATCGGCCACCTCGGTCAGTATTCAACCATGAAATGTAGAATAGGCGTTAATGCCATATCAAATGTTTGTTTAAGTGTCTGTCAAAATCCATTTGCTCCCTTTGCATTCCTCCATCTTATCTTAATATATTATTTATCAATGAAATACAGTGTTATCTTCACATTACAAAGTAGTGTGACTTTTGGTAAGTGTAAGAGCTGCTTTGGAGAATTTTTCTATAGCCATTTTGTAGGAAAAATTATAAAAAATGTATGATCTTTTTAATTTAAGACCTGAATCGCCCTCAAATTTCATATTTGCACATCTGCTAAAAATACCATTTGTGCCATATTGTGAAATCATTTAGTTTTAGGTCCTTTCAGATCATGGTGTATTTTCGTTATATTTGTGATAATCGATGGAAACCAATGGGCAGAATAATGTTATGATGATATCCCCATGTTAAGTCAATGATGTACATCCCAATGTTAAGTCATGATCAATACATCCTTGCTGAACCAAATGACCCCCGATCGCAGCCTATAAATGTATGTCCAAACAGTTAAATATTTTCCAAAGTATTATTTATTATTGTATTTACTCCAAATACAGCTATTTTGACCATATTGCGTGTATTTTATTTGGATACCCAAATCATGGGACAAATAAAGGTTTTAGTATCTCATACAAGACAATCTCAATCCATTGACACAATTTTCAAATATGCATTTTATTTGCATATACCCAATTATGGAATACATTAGGGTTGTGCTACCTGTATCTCAGTCATTTTAGATCATTAGATAAATTATGATTGCATCATGCGGGACTTTGGATATCATTCCTTTAATGGTAATTGATATAAATATAATAATACAAATGCATGTATTGTGAAAATAGTTTGTTAAATTATGTTGAGGAAAATTGTATTTTGTTTGACATTTAAGGCGTCGTTTAATTTCAGATGTTACTCTCTAGTTGGTGTGTCAAGCGGGAGTAGTGGTAATAGGGTATCCTTGGAGATTCCAGGCTGTGTATATGTGAGCACTTTTTAACATGTTATAAGCTTTGTGCCCTTCTTTCTCTACTGGTAACGATTTGACTTGTATGTAAGATGGCTGAGGATTTGTCAATCTCGAACATAACCCCTAATCTCATTACTATCCCTAAAGACTAACCAAAACCCCAAACCATTGACAATGTTGAGTATATACAATTGAAATTCATTAAACCATATTTAATGTGTCTGAGATCAAGTTTATCTAATTTAAAAAATATTCTCTCGATAACTTTTGTCGTAGCGTATCAAAGTATGATTTTAAGGGTCATGTGCATATCATATAATTGAAGATAGATCTGATAATACATAAAATATAGCCACATGTATGTGTGTTCTCACTGTGTATATTTTACTTGCAGAAAGATGTGATAATACACAAAATATAAAATTCTACGGGTCATTATTGTGCATATCATAATTTGAGATAGATCTGATAATACATAAAATATAGCCACATGTATGTGTGTTCTCACTGTGTATATTTTACTTGCAGAAAGATGTGATAATACACAAAATATAAAATTCTACGGGTCATTATTGTGCATATCATAATTTGAGATAGATCTGATAATACATAAAATATAGCCACATGTATGTGTGTTCTCACTGTGTATATTTTACTTGCAGAAAGATGTGATAATACACAAAATATAAAATTCTACGGGTCATTATTGTGCATATCATAATTTGAGATAGATCTGATAATACATAAAATATAGCCACATGTATGTGTGTTCTCACTGTGTATATTTTACTTGCAGAAAGATGTGATAATACACAAAATATAAAATTCTACGGGTCATTATTGTGCATATCATAATTGAAGATAGATTTGATAATACATAAAATATAGCCACATGTATGTGTGTTCTCAATGTGTATATTTAACTTGCAGAAAGATATGAAAATACACAAAATATAAAACTCTACTGGTCATTATTGTGCATATCATAATTGAAGATAGATCTGATAATACATAAAATGTAACTCTATGGTTTCTTAATGAAAAAACTATACTTGCAAAACGATGGGATAATACATGGAATATTACTCTATGGGTAATCAATTTAATTGTAGGAAAGCACGGTAATACACGAAATAGGTCACTCCTTGGGCTTCCTTCATACCCAATCACGTCCGGATAGGGACTTCTATGTAACTGTGAATGAAGAAAACGTTCAAACTGACATGATTGCGAACTACAATAAATCACCTTGGGAGAGGTTTGCGTTGTATAATTTGGAGTATGATTTTGCCTCTGAGATGCATTATAGCAGGGGGGTGAGTAGTATTCTAAGACAAATGTCTCAACAGCTGAACTGTGAATTTGAGAAAACTCAAGCAGCTAATGCGTCTCGAACTAATAACCTCATGATTACGGCGATAGCGCAGGCCCGTAGCCAGGATTTGCCAAGGGGGAGGTTCACTTTTTGAAAAATTCCAGGGGTGTGTCCCAAATGGCCAAAATCACTTCAAAAGTGCTCAGAATGGTGAAAAACAGCATGATTTTAAAATATTGTTTGGCCAGGGGGGACCCATGGACCCCCTTCCCCCGGCTGCGGGCCTGTAGCGTCTTGCTTATCTCTGTTTAGACAATGCAAGGAGTTGAGACATTGATTGCAATTTTATTTTTATTCCAGAAACGTGCAACCTCTACTTGTATACAATCTTAAACAATTATTAATATGTTTATTGAAGTGTATAAGTACAACTTTTAAGAGTGGAAAATACTTTTTTCGTTCTATCAACCTAACACTTTTTTCTTATTAGACATTTTCAATAGGAAGTCCCGTAACTAACCCAACAATGGACGCCGTTAATCCTTTGTACAATGGAAACATTGGTAGCAGCGATGGCATTTCCTATATAGACGCAAAGATGTTTAACATTCACTACTGTAGTGGTAAGGTTTAGATTTAGGTTTTCATGTCTAATAACAAAATGTCAAAAGTTACAAATGTCATATGTTTGACTTATTTTTTATAATGAACCACTTACCCGTAAAGCAAGACATTAATGCGGCATATAAAGAAATCAGAAAATTATGTTATTGGTTGGAATTCTTCTGCATGTGTTCTGTCACGAACGTTCCAGTATATAGAACACATCAATCAAAAGCATTTTATATTAGAGTAGAAGTAGATGAGTGTAGAGCAAGTGGAAATGGGAAACATTAACAGTTGGTTAAACCGTTTTATATATAGTTAATGTATATAAAAAAATTGAAACCCTTTGCATAAAACTTCGATTTTCCCTTTTGAGGTTCGCTCTTTAATCAATATTTTCCCACGATACATTTCGTTTAGATATTTGCGTGACCCGAAAGTTCTATATTAATCTTACTACGCAAAGGACAGGTGGCGGTAAACCCCTCTTTTAGCCCCCCTACAAAACAAGTATATATTGACATGGAGTTGAAGAGGAAGTATGACTCATTACTTAAAATGTGATTTCTGAGAGTTTTGACATTTGACCTTGACACTAGGGTGGTTTAAAGGTCAACTTTGAGAGTTGCTATTTTTGTCAAAATTTGACTGTTTCTAATCCAAGAAATGAGAGCAATTGGCTTTATTTTGATTGTGACTGATAAAAAGACATGTGAATAGAAATAATTTTTTTTTTAAATAAATTATCACGGGCAATTACCTGAAAATCTTGAGAATAAATACCGATATCGGCATTTTTAGGGGTACTAAATTTTCTTGTTTCAAAAAATGAATGTTCTCGTTGCCTTTTGAGACTCTAACAGTATCCTAAGCATGTTTTAAGAGTTGGGATGTGATTATTATTTTAAATGCCCATGGGCAATTAGGATAAAATGACTGAAATTAAATGCACACAAGGGCACTTCAAAAAGAATGGATTTTCTTTTTTCAATTGCTTCTCGCCAGTTTTCTAACATGTTTGCCATATTCTAAATAGTTATAGGGTCACTTTTACTAAATGCCCATTGGCATTTGGCATTATATTTGGCGTTTGAAATTAAAATGTTTGAATGTACACTTACTTTTAAAGTTATTTGCCAATTTGCAGTTTCCATATTTGAAACACAAATAATTCAGAGAAATCCCCTCTCAATATATATCATAAAATATAAGGCAGCATAATGTATGAATGGCATGACACTCAAAGGATTGCCTAAAATAATTTCTACTTATTCCCTATTTAGAAAAGCATTTAGGCCATTCAAAGATTTTCTAATAATAATGTCACTAAATTCTATGTTTTCATAAACAAAATGTCCCCATGTACTCTCTACTTGTAATATATATAAATGACAAAGGGAATTGTGATCTTGGATTATATTGTAGCGAAATGAGTTCCAAGATTTTGATTAAATACTACATGTATGTAAACTTCATTAACAAGGTCATCTGAACTCAAGAGGTGTGTTACTTGCTTTGGCACAATGTGTTATTGCATTTTCACTCTTAAATAATATATAAAACCCTTTAAATAAATGAAGGTTTTGTAGTTTTTAATATAAGGCTCTTCATCAGAATGCCAACATATAATTAATTTTGGATGGCCTAATCTGTACATGCAGTTATGTAGTGTACATGTATGCCCAGGTTAGCAGCCATATTGAAAACATAAACCAGTCAGCCTTATTTTCATCACAAAAGTTAAGTTTTAGTGGTGAGCCCAAACTCCCACAAAAATGATATTTGCAGAGAAGCTACTTTACGGTCTCTGCATTATACAGTTTCAATATATTTTTTGTGGGAGTGTGGGCTGACAGTTAACTTTTCAATGAAAGGGAATGAGCACCATGCTAAAACTTGATAACAAAGTGAACGAAAAATGACAATGTTTTCTAGATTTGCATAGGTAAACTACATATATCGCTAGATTTTGTCAATTTTCTTCTCCGAATACTTGTATGCCATATGTTCCATATATTAAATTCTATATAATGATAAGTTTTGATATTATTTTGATGGTAAACATAATGTGTACCCATATTCAGACAGCCTTGTGATAGGGGTTCTTACTGCCAATTTTTCAAAGAAACGGACAACTTATGCCACTTTTTGAAATCGCACATCTCAAGAAGAAAGGTTTATCTACAACTTGCAATTGGTTTTAAAAGTAAATGGAAGAATGAGTTTTTCAGAAAAAAGTCTAAGTGGACCAATAGTCTGTTAAATGGACCTGTTCTTTGTTTTTACACCCGAACGCTAAATAAAACAATGACACCATTGGAAGTACTCATGTTCCTTGTCATTGCTTCAATGGTCAGTATACCAAGTATAATCAAGAAAACCTTGTACAATGAACAACAAAATTCGGAAACGAGTACTATAGATTTGCTTTTTGACACTGAACCGATTGACCTAGATAATATCGACGCGTATTCTTTGGTGGTCAACTGCTTAGTTGTTTTTGAGTTTTCAACGTAACTCTGTGATGCAATTTAAAGATGAGTACTTTAATTCTGGTGTTGCATCGATGTTGCAGTTTGTAGTGCGGTAAGATTGGAAATAAGGAATTCTGAATTTGCTCCTCCGCGAACTGCATCATGGGAAATATTTTGACATTATAAGGAAAATCTTTCGCGTCTCCTCTTTTGAAGAGGAAATTAAGGATACTATAATTGAACAGACCTTCTTGTCCACTAAGCAAATCTGTTAATAAGTTGATAAGGCGGAAGACATTACATAAACTGTAATTTCTGATAATTTATAAAGTAACTTCTGGTACTTTATTCAGGGTGAGCCAAAAAAGGAGTTTAGTGTCAAATATTTAGTATAATCAAACCTTGTCTAATGTCCCTTAATTCCACGAAGTTTTGGTAACGATTTTATAGCAATTTTAGAAAGCATGCTATAAAATATCGGCGTCGCTTCTATTCTGGAGACTATCATTAACGTTTCGGGCGTAGTTTTATTTACTACACGAGCACGGACACTTTGATGGCTCCATCTTTCCCTTTATCTCTTGTTTGAATGTTTCATGGGTTGTCGGTATAGATTAACTAAGCCCAAAAATAAATATTTCTTAGGATTTATGCCCAATGGATGTGGCAAATTTCGGCATATTAAGCATATATGTTTCTTAAATGGCCATAAACTCGGGACCAGTGGAGACCAATAAACCTTAAAAAAAAGAAAAGACTATTTGACAAGGTTCAATTATGCTAAATACAATTGTACACCCATGTTATATAACTGGGTTATTAACATTTGTTTGGGTCACCTTTTTGGCTCACCCTGTATAAATGGGTTACCTGTTTTTTGGTTAGCTGAATGTCCCGGCTATTCATCGTTATACTGGAAAGACTGTCTACATGGAGGGTACAGAGATCCTAATGACTGCTCAGTCTGTAGATGTCCTGATGGATGGAGTGGGCCAACATGTAGCGACGTTTCTCCACCAGGATCGGGTAAAACCTCAATCTTAATTTCCACATTTTTCTATTTATTCAGGAGTCAATGCAATCTCCTTACTTTTCTTTCAGACCAATCGTACCTCCATCGTTCTCTCATGCACATCTTTAATAGGGATAAAATGTGACCTATTTTAAAAATACACATTTTCGTGTCTCTTACATGATAATTGTATGACTTAGTACTAAATATATATTTTTGATATAACATTAATATTTTATAAGACGGAGATTTAGTCCCAGATATTGGTATTAGGTGCGATAATGTCAGGAAGAAGCGGAACATAAGATCTTGTCAATTCTATACAAAGCTATCACTTTAGCATTCACACCATTCTAAAGTTCTAATATCGTTCACAAATGTCAAGAGTTCTAAACTGTTCAGCTCATTTTATATGTTCTTAGCACAAAAAAGATTTTCATCAAATTCTCAAAGTCACACTTCACAAACACAGTCAGTTCACGTTCTCGATGTTTAAGGCTTTCTATCATCATATTGATTAACTAAAAAGTTTGTTTGAGGTCGTGTAATTATTTCTTTAAACTATAGAATATTAAATTTAATATTATTTTTTCTTTTTCGAATACGTTTTTCTAATTTTGGCCAAACACTAAGTTTTGAAATGCCTGTAACTTTTTCTCATTTGTGAGTTGAACCATGATACTTGGCAAATCAATGTAACATTGGATATATGACACATACTATGGGGACATAGGTGCATGCCTGTCTAGGGGGGGAGGGGCATACTTTCGGGACACCCTGTATATCAAATGTGAAACTAACATTGAATTTTGAGCCATTTGTGACACCATACTGGCAGAACATAAAAAGATCTATGAATATCAAATGCAGCATATTAAAACCGTTGATTTGGCAAATTCTATGATGTTTAATAATACGTTTGTTTTGGCTAAGTTTCAAAGCATATGAAAATTACAGAAAATTTATTTGTTTTTTGATATTTGAATTTAATTTATTTTGATCTATTGAAAACTATTTTAAATTATTGGATTAAAATCGATCATTTTTACGATCTATATGAATTACTATTTATTTATATTTCGTATGATATAAAAGTGACTGCCATTGAAGGAAGTACAGAATTTTTTGTGATTGATATTCTGTCCATTGACATGTTCCCGAGGCTGCAGGCCGAGGGAATGTGCCAGTGGACAGGATATGCTAAACGGAACATTTCCCGAAAAAATTACAGGCACTTTTTGTTTTTATATACCACATAGTATGCACTCTGTAAACAAAAACAAAATGAGAATTATTTTAATTCCAACAGTTAATGCTTATGGGTTCTTAAAGGCATTTAAAGACGTTTTGCCATTCAACTCTTATAATCCCTGCAAGAGGGGTGATAAAGATACTTATGGCTGGTCACATAAATTAACCATTGATTAGTACGTTTGTTTTCCTATTAGCAGCGATTTAGGACTTTCCAGGGAATTAATTCATCTATTTTATATCATGTGACCATGAATAAGCCAATGAGCATCTAGAATACATAAAGGGTATATAATATTTCATCATAATAGTTAATAAAATATATATTTATATTATTCTATATTTATTTTAAATAGGAACCTGTGGTGGTGAAATAGATGTTACAGATTCCGGATTTTTATCTAATCCTGATTTCGGAAGTTCGTACAGCCAAGGCAGCGATTGCACCTGGCTGCTAAAAGTAGGACTTTAAAACATGAATCTTTCCAAATATGTCTCTTCCTATAAATTAGTAATAACCAAATTCACGGGGGTAAAGCAGACCCGATGATGCAATGAGCTTGCTCGGCGGTATCATGACTGTGTAACGGGTCGTGATGTATAAGTGAGGTCGGCGGTAGGTTCAAACAACGCGGATCCTCAAAGCATGTGCTCATGGTATCATTGTGGCTTAACACCCGTGAAATTATAAACTCGGATCATGATAAGCTGAGGCCCAGGAATACGTTAAAAATGTTTAAAAAGTCCGCTAGTGTACTGAGTTGTTAATGCGTGGCGTATACATTATACTATCTTTTACTTAGATTACTTACATGTATAAGAATAAGTCAGATTTTTATAAGCTTAATGGATAAGAATAAGACCGATTTTTTTTATAAATGACAGTATACCCGGGCCTCAGATGATAAGCTTAACTTAAAACGCAATGCCATCCAGTAAAACTGATGTGGGATAAACTTATTATGACAAATGCGTGTAGGATTTGGTGTTAAGCCTTTCCAAACAATGGCTTTTTTTCATTGCATCTAGGCCCCAGCAGGAAGCCAGATCCGAATAAATTTTGTTGAAGATTTTGGTATAGAATACTCTACTGGTAATACATGTTCAAGGGATTGGGTTGAAATACGTTATTACAGTCTCGACTACGTTGGACCAAGGTTAGTCAGATGATACACTCCCCTTCATAAGTTTAGCAATCGGGAAATCTTCTTTTGGGTAATATCAAAGGCATACATTTTTACTGAATTTACTAACTAAATGAGGGACGAAATTAAGATTCAAATTTGATAAGCTTTGATATCCAATGAACTCTTGTTCCAACTCTTGGTTGCCAAACAAATGAAAGGGAGTATATACTTGTTTATATAAAGGAACGGTGGTGGAGATCAATGTCACAACTACAGTATTTCTTTGCACTCCCTAATTTGGCAAATCATAAAATAATTAAAGGCAGGGCTCGTTCATCGTTGTCACTCTAATAGTAATAGGCATAATAGTAGTCACGCTCATAATGACATTTACGCTTATAATAGTAGTCACACTCATAATGACATTTACGCTTATAATAGTAGTCACGCTCATAATGACATTTACGCTTATAATAGTAGTCACGCTCATAATGACATTTACGCTTATAATAGTAGTCACGCTCATAATGACATTTACGCTTATAATAGTAGTCACGCTCATAATGACATTTACGCTTATAATAGTAGTCACACTCATAATGACATTTACGCTTATAATAGTAGTCACACTCATAATGACATTTACGCTTATAATAGTAGTCACACTCATAATGACATTTACGCTTATAATAGTAGTCACACTCATAATGACATTTACGCTTATAATAGTAGTCACGCTCATAATGACATTTACGCTTATAATAGTAGTCACGCTCATAATGACATTTACGCTTATAAAAGCCGAGATCATAATAATAGTTACACTTTTATTAGTGGCCACGCTCATAATAATAGTTACACTTTTATTAGTGGCCACGCTCATAATAAAAGTTACACTTTTATAAGTAGTCCCGCTCATAATAGTCTTGCAATACATTTCTCTGCCTTTGTCTTTAGAATAACTTAAACTGATTCTTTTGTAGTCAGATTATCGCCAGTATGTCTCGAGATAAGTTTATTTGGACCATAAGACTTGATCGAAGCAGGAATCGTGTCCAACAAATAACACTCTCACTCATCCATCCATACATATATCACTATACTTTACCTTACATTTAGTGTTCATAAGCAACCAATTTGACTTGATAGTAATGATTATGTTATTTGTTTTTATTTGTCTGTTCCTTATGAATGGTTTATCGGAAGACTGTTAAATGTTAATAAGGTACTTGCAAAAATATACGAAACAATACAATTAGACAAACAGAGTATCTTATGCATTTCTAGGGGCTAGGTCTACTAGAGTGATATACTACATAAGGACTTTCTTTCTTTTATATATAAATATATAATAAAATAATCAACAACAAAGGCAGATAAATTATTCCAATATGTTTCTTTATTTAAAAATCTTATATAAATAATATTTTTATATATTCCTAATGAAAAAATATTATATATATTCCTAATGCTTATTTACTGCAGTCAACTCCCTGAATATATTCAGGTAACTGAGTATTACCTAATCCATTCGAACAAGAAGTCTAATATATTTTACGAAGACTCCCCATAAAGTGAGGGGAGCTCTTCATACAAGAACATGTGAAAACCGTTCACGTGACCGAAAGTCCGCCAACTCGAAAACTATGTAATGAACTAAACTATAATATATTTTTAGATCCACTACATATACAAAGTATATTATTGATGTTTGGTGTACTTTATTATATTATCGTTGTGCTTCTGGTACAAGATATATATGTCTGTATGTACATATGTGACACTATAAACTGTATAAATTAAACTATATTTTTTCAGATTCTGTGGAAATACCGTGCCAACCGAAGTTATTGAATCTTTGAATGGAGAATTAATGGTTCTATTTAGGGCTAACGATGATAATCCGAATCCTAACAATGGTTTTAAGATACAATACATGCTCGTTCCAGGTAATCCATTTAAATCTAAAAATAACAATGCGGAAAACAATAGTTGGTTGTTAGCTCTATCGGCAAAAAAAGAATTGTTTCAAAACAATATGAAAGGTCTGAATCAAAATGTTAATAAGTAATTTGCACTAGAAAAGTAATAAGAAATGATATGATATTAAACTCTTACCTACTTACCAATATATCGGAGGTCCTACCGCACCCTAGGTTACATTGTTTAACTCAGCCAAACATGATAGAGTCAACAAAAAGTTCTAAAAGCAAGCACAATTAATGTCCTCATCTGTTTATATAAATAATATTCTTACAATTGAAAATGGATTCTAGCAATACTCTCCCACGTGACTTTAGATGTTGAGACTCGATCAACTCAGACTCAAGTCTCAGCTTCTTGTGAGAAAATGACGAAGCATGGGGATGCAATTCATGTTATGATATCTTACCTTAGATATCAGAAGAACTCATGTTGATCGAGCTCCAACAAGTCGATTTATGTGGGAGAATATTTCTAGAATTCATTTCCAATAGTAGGAACAGGGATTCTTAAACAAGACATTAAAACTTATCTAAGGCCTTTTTGAATTTTTGGGTTAGTACTATGACGGTGAAGGCAGAAATGTAGGCCCATGGCATTCCTTAAAAACCTGTGATTTTTTCCAAAATACGCCACTGTTGGTTTCTATGGTATAGGTTCCCACTTGGGCAAGTTTATTACGCATTGGCTGTCATCTTAGAATAGTAGCAAACCCGACTAACAATAAATGGACGCTGGTATCTCGAAAAGTTAACTGACTCAATTTATGTTCTTAAAATGCAAATTAAATGAAATGAAGTGAAGCAATATATTTTAATCTTTAAGTTTCATACACTAATTATGAAGACATTTCTTACACGCCTTTATGAAAACGATTGTATAATTGTTTTTAAAGCTGTATTTGTATTGGTACATGTGCTCTTTGAGAGACAAAAGCAAGGGGAACAAAACTGAATAGATTTGTTGTTGGCCATATTATGTGATGACGTGAATTCATTATAAACTAAAGTCGAGTTCATGAATCTGTAAAGTACTTTAAAGTTGGAAAATAAGAAAATGATATTGTGTCAACCGCAAATCTATCGATGTGTTTCTTTGTGAGTTAAATTTTCTCTGTGAGTTACATTTTCTCTGTGAGTTACATTTTTTGTGAGTTACATTTTCTCTGTGAGTTACATTTTCTTTGTGAGTTACATTTTCTCTGTGAGTTACATTTTCTTTGTGAGTTACATTTTCTTTGTGAGTTACATTTTCCCCGTGAGTTAAATTTTTTCTGTGAGTTACATTTTCTCTGTGAGTTACATTTTCTCATCCAAAAAATAATTTTATTAGACTCCAGATGTCAATCTGGAGTCTATTGTTTTTGCCAGTATTCTTCTTATTAGACTCCAGATGTCAATCTGGAGTCTATTGTTTTTGCCAGTATTCTTATTATTAGACTCCAGATTGAAAATCTGGAGTCTATTGTTTTTGCCAGTATTCTTATTCTTATTCTTATTAGACTCCAGATGAAATCTGGAGTCTATTGTTTTTGCCATTATTGTTTATTATTCTTATTATTCTTATACTGATCACGTTTTCTCAACAACTATAAGGTATCTTTTCAAGACAATTATATGGTCAATTAAGGTTCAGTATCTAGTTGGTGGGAAATGGGATCAAATTTTTATCTAGGTCAAAGGTCAAGAACTAGGTCAAATCCAGTACTTTGTCACTTTTTTCGATTTTCTCGGTCGTCCTTCAATATTTCTGATCCGGGTTTTTTTCATTGTGTTCCTTATAAAAAAGTAGGAAAGCTAGGGTCGATTTTGTTTTTTGATATCTCAAACCGATTTCGAGATATCAGTGTCCGAAAACGAGGTCCAAAAAAAAGTTCTCCGAATCAAATGTCCAGGATATTAGTCTTATAGAGAATTTTCTCAGGATTCCGAATCTGAAATCCAAATTCGAATCAGACTTCCGGTTCGGAAGTTATGGCGTTTTGAAAGCTCAAAAATCGCTAAATTTGGTGCCCATGTTAAGTCAATGGGAAAAAAGATTTTTTTGAAGTGAAAAATACGAAATATAGACTGAGTTCAGCTAAATATAATGAAAGGTTTAAAAAGAATGGGACCTCAAAAGCCATCTAGCTTCAAAATTTGGACACCAAAATCCCTAGGTCAAAATCTAGGTCAAATTCAAAGTTTTTCCTTATTTTTGCTATTCTGACACTACAGATTAATTATATTCTTCGAAATTTTGTATACATGTAGCCAAGAGTGTGCTAATAGTGTTAGCCTTTTGCCGTCAGAAAGTATTTTGCCCCACTTTTGAGATATGGTGTCCGAAAAGTAGGTCAAAATAAAAATTCGCCAAATTTAACGTATGAGTTATGAATTAGGGGTAGAATTTTGTCAGGAATCCGAATCTTTAAATCATATTTCGATTCGACTCCTGGTTCGGGAGTTATGGCGTTTTGAAATTTCGGAAAATCGATCTGATGGTATCCTGATAGAAAGTCAAGAGTAGAGAAGAAAATATTGAAAAATTCATCCATCCTTCCTATCTGATCTTACCCTATCCTATCCTATCCTTCCTATCTATCCTTCCTTCGTATCATTTCCTTCCTATCCTTCCTATCCTCTCCTATCATATCCTTTCTTCCTATTCTGTTCTATCCTATCCTTCTTTCTTATTCTATCCTATCGTTCCTTCCTATTCTATCCTATCCTACCTTCCTATTTTATCCATCCATCTTTTTCTGGATGACTCAGCTTATTTTGGATGACTCGGCTTATTCTGGATGACTCGACTAAAAAAAAGTCTAGATCTGGAGTCTGAAATTGAACTCGTTCAATTTCCAAAATCTAGTTATTATTCTTCTTCGGGAGTTTTTTCAGTAACTATGGGGTATCCAGTAAAGACCATAATACAGTTTATTTAGGTTCAGTATCTAGTTGGTGGGAAATTGAGTCAAATTTTTATCTAGGTCAAAGGTCAAGAACTAGGTCAAATCCAGTACTTTATCACTTTTTTCGATTTTCTCGGTTGTCCTTCAATATTTTTGATCCGGGTTTTTTTCATTGTGTTCCTTATAAAAAAGTAGGAAACCTAGGGTCGATTTAGTTTTTTGATATCTCAAACCGATTTCGAGATATCGGTGTCCGAAAACGATGTCCAAAAAAAATTTCTCCGAATCAAATGTCCAGGATATCAGTCTTATAGGAAATTTTCTCAGGATTCCGAATCTGAAAACGAAATTTAGATCAGACTTCCGGTTCTGAAGTTATGGCGTTTTGAAAGCTCAAAAATCGCTAAATTTTGAGCCCATGTTAAGTCAATGGGAAAAAAGATTTTTTTGAAGTGAAAAATACGAAATATAGACTAAGTTCAGCTAAATATAATGAAAGCCTTTAAAAGAATGAGACCTCAAAAGCCATCTAGCTTTAAAATTTGGACACCAAAATGCCTAGGTCAAAATCTAGGTCAAATTCAAAGTTTTTTCTTATTTTTGCGATTCTGACACTACACTTTAATTATATTCTTCGAAATTGTGTATACATGTAGCCAAGAGTGTGCTAATAGCGTTAGCCTTTTGCCGTCAGAAAGTATTTTGACCCACTTTTGAGATATGGTGTCCGAGAAGTAGGTCAAAATAAAAAGTTCTCCAAATTTAACATTTGAGTTATGAATTAAGAATAGAATTTTCTCAGAAATCCGAATCTGCAAACCAAATTTCGATCCGACTTCCGGTTCCGAAGTTATGGCGTGTCCAAAAAGTAGGTCAAAATAAAAATTCGCCAAATTTAATGTATGAGTTATGAATTAGGGGTAGAATTTTGTCAGGAATCCGAATGTTTAAATCAAATTTAGATCCGACTTCCAGTTCGGAAGTTATGGCGTTTTGAAATTTGGGAAAATCGATCTGATGGTATCCTGATAGAAAGTCAAGAGTAGAGAAGAAAATATTGAAAAATTCATCCATCCTTCCTATCTGATCCTATCCTATCCTTCCTTCGTATCCTTTCCTTCCTATCCTCTCCTATCATATCCTTTCTTCCTATTCTGTTCTATCCTAACCTTCTTTCTTATTCTATCCTATCGTTCCTTCCCATTCTATCCTATCCTACCTTCCTGTTTTATCCATCTATCTTATTCTGGATGACTCAGCTTATTCTGGATGACTCGGCTTATTTTAGATGACTGGGCTTAAAAAAGTCTGGATCTGGAGTCTGAAATTGAACTTCGTTCAATTTCCCAAGTCTAGTTATTCTTCTTATTCTTATTATTCTTTGGGAGTTTTTTCAATAACTATGAGGTATCCAGTAAGTACCATAATACAGTTTATTTAGGTTCAGTATCTAGTTGGTGGGAAATTGGGTCAAATTTTGATCTAGGTCAAAGGTCAAGAACTAGGTCAAATCCAGTACTTTGTCACTTTTTTCGATTTTCTCGGTCGTCCTTCAATATTTTTGATCCGGGTTTTTTTCATTGTGTTCCTCATAAAAAAGTAGAAAAGCTAGGGTCGATTTAGTTTTTTTGCATCTCAAACCGATTTCGAGATATCAGTGTCCGAAAACGAGGTCCAAAAAAAGGTTCTCCGAATCCAATGTCCAGGATATCAGTCTTATAGGAAATTTTCTCAAGATTCCGAATCTGAAAACCAAATTTCGATTTGACTTCCGGTTCAGAAGTTATGGCGTTTTGAAAATTCAAAAATCGCTAAATTTGGTGCCCCATGTTAATTCAATGGGAAAAATTATTTTTTTGAAGTGTAAAATACGAGATATAGACTAAGCACAGCTAAACATAATGGATGCCCATAAAAGAAAGGGACCTCAAAACCTTCTTTTCATAAAAATTTGGACACCAAAATGCCTAGGTCAAAATCTAGGTCAAATTCAAAGTTTTTCCTTATTTTTGCGATTCTGACACTACACTTTAATTATATTCTTCGAAATTTTGTATACATGTAGCCAAGACTGTGCTAATAGTGTTAGCCTTTTGCCGTCAGAAAGTATTTTGACCCACTTTTGAGATATGGTGTCCGAAAAGTAGGTCAAAATAAAAAATTCTCCAAATTTAACGTATGAGTTATGAATTAAGGCTAAAACTTTCTCAGAAATCCGAATCTGCAAACCAAATTTCGACCCGACTTCCGGTTCCGAAGTTATGGCGTGTCCAAAAAGTAGGTCAAAATAAAAATTCGCCAAATTTAACGTATGAGTTATGAATTAGGGGTAGAATTTTGTCAGGAATACGAATCTTCAAACCAAATTTAGATCCGACTTCCGGTTCGGAAGTTATCGCGTTTTGAAATTTCAGAAAATCGATCTGATGGTATCCTGATAGAAAGTCAAGAGTAGAGAAGAAAATATTGAAAAATTCATCCATTCTTCCTATCTGATCCTATCCTATCCTTCCTATCTATCCTTCCTTCGTATCCTTTCCTTCCTATCCTCTCCTATCATATCCTTTCTTCCTATTCTGTTCTATCCTATCCTTTTTTCTTATACTATCGTTCCTTCCCATTCTATCCTATCCTACCTTCCTATTTTATCCATCCATCTTATTCTGGATGACTCGGCTTATTTTAGATGACTGGGCTTAAAAAAAGTCTAGATCTGGAGTCTGAAATTGAACTTCGTTCAATTTCCAAAGTCTAGTTATTCTTATTAGACTCCAGATGTCAATCTGGAGTCTATTGTTTTTGCCAGTATTCTTCTTTATTATTCTTTAGACGATTTTTCTATAACTATAAGGTATCCAGTAAAGACCATTATACAGTTCATTTAGGTTCAGTATCTAGTTGGTGGGAAATTGGGTCAATTTTTTATCTAGGTCAAAGGTCAAGAACTAGGTCAAATCTTACATTTTCAACCTTCTGTCCATTATCTTCGTTGTTATTTATCGAAACGTCTTTGTCTTTTTTCATCATGTAGCTTAGAAACAACCCTTTCATGATGTGCCATCCATTTTTTGATTACTCTTACCTATTTTGAAATATGGCGTCCAGAAAGTAGGTCGAAATTAGAGGTTTCTCAAATTTAACATATGAGTTGTGAACTAAGGAAAGAATTTCCCCAGGAATCCGAATCTGCAAACCAAATTTCGATCCGACTTCCGGTTCGGAAGTTATGGCGTTTTAAAAGCTCAAAAATTTGGTGCCCATGTTAAGTCAATGGGAAAAAAGATTTTTTTGAAGTGAGAAATACGAAATATAGGCTGAGTTCAGCTTAATTTAATGAAAGCCTTCAAAAGAAGGGGACCTCAAAAGCCAGTTAGTTTCAAAATTTGGACACCAAAATGCCTAGGTCAAAATCTAGGTCAAATTCAAAGGTTTTCCTTATTTTTGCGATTCTGACACTACACTTCAATTATATTCTTCGAAATTGTGTATACATGTAGCCAAGAGTGTGCTAATAGTGTTAGCCTTTTGCCGTCAGAAAGTATTTTGACCCACTTTTGAGATATGGTGTCCGAAAAGTAGGTCAAAATAAAAAAATCCCCAAATTTAACGTATGAGTTATGAATTAGGGGTAGCATTTTGTCAGGAATCCGAATCTGCAAACCAAATTTCGATCCGACTTCCAGTTCGGAAGTTATGGCGTGTCCAAAAAGTAGGTCAAAATAAAAAATCTCCAAATTTAACGTATGAGTTATGAATTAGGGGTAGAATTTTGTCAGGAATCCGAATCTGTAAACCAAATTTCGATCTGCCGGTTCGGAAGTTATGGCGTTTTGAAATTTCGGAAAAATCGATCTGATGGTATCCTGATAGAAAGTCAAGAGTAGAGAAGAAAATATTGAAAAATTCATCCATCCTTCCTATCTGATCCTATCCTATCCTTCCTATCTATCCTTCCTTCGTATCTTTTCCTTCCTATCCTATCCTATCATATCCTTTCTTCCTATTCAATCCTATCTTTCTTTCTTATTCTATCCTATCGTCCCCTCCTATTCTATCCTATCCTACCTTCCTATTTTATCCATCCATCTTTTTCTGGATGACTCAGCTTATTCTGGATGACTCGGCTTATTTTGGATGACTCGGCTAAAAAGGTCTGAATCTGGAGTCTGAAATTGAACTCGTTCAATTTCCAAAGTCTAGTTCTTATTATTCTTTAGGAGTTTTTTCAATAACTATGAGGTATCCAGTAAGGACCATAATACAGTTTATTTAGGTTCAGTATCTAGTTGGTGGGAAATTGGGTCAATTTTTTATCTAGGTCAAAGGTCAAGAACTAGGTCAAATCCAGTACTTTGTCACTTTTTTCGATTTTCTCGGTCGTCCTTCAATATTTTGGATCCGGGTTTTTTTCATTGTGTTCCTCATAAAAAAGTAGAAAATCTAGGGTCGATTTAGTTTTTTGGTATCTCAAACCGATTTCGAGATATCAGTGTCCGAAAACGAGGTCCAAAAAAAAGTTCTCCGAATCCAATGTCCAGGATATCAGTCTTATAGGAAATTTTCTCAGGATTCCGAATCTGAAAACTAAATTTCGATCTGACTTCCGGTTCGGAAGTTATGGCGTTTTGAAAATTCAAAAATCGCTAAATTTGGTGCCCCATGTTAATTCAATGGGAAAAAATATTTTTTTGAAGTGTAAAATACGAGATATAGACTAAGCACAGCTAAACATAATGGAAGCCAATAGAAGAAAGGGACCTCAAAACCTTCTTTTCATAAAAATTTGGACACCAAAATGCCTAGGTCAAAATCTAGGTCAAATTCAAAGTTTTTCCTTATTTTTGCGATTCTGACACTACAGATTAATTATATTCTTCGAAATTTTGTATACATGTAGCCAAGAGTGTGCTAATAGTGTTAGCCTTTTGCCGTCAGAAAGTATTTTGACCCACTTTTGAGATATGGTGTCCGAAAAGTAGGTCAAAATAAAAAATTCTCCAAATTTAACGTTTGAGTTATGAATTAAGTATAGAATTTTCTCAGGAATCCGAATCTGCAAATCAAATTTCGATCCGACTTCCGGTTCGGAAGTTATGACATTTTGAAAGCTCAAAAATCGCTAAATTTGGTGCCCCATGTTATGTCACTGGGATAAAAGATTTTTTTGAAGTGTAAAATACGAGATATAGACTAAGTACAGCTTAAAATAATGAAAGACTATGAAAGAAGGGGACCTCGAAGGCTACCCAACTTCAAAATTTGGACACCAAAATCCCTAGGTCAAAATCTAGGTCAAATTCATAGTTTTTCCTTATTTTTGCGATTCTGACACTATATTTAAATGATTTGCTTCAAAATTTTGTATACAGGTAGGAAAGAGTGTGCTGATAGTGTTAGCCTTTTGCCGTCAGAAAGTATTCCGACCCACTTTTAAGATATGGTGTCCGAAAAGTAGGTCCAAAAAAAAAGTTCTCCAAATTTAATATATGAGTTATGAATTAAGGGTAGAATTTTCTCAGGAATTCGAGTCTGCAAACCAAATTTCGATCCGACTTCCGGTTCCGAAGTAATGGCGTGTCCAAAAAGTAGGTCAAAATAAAAATTCGCCAAATTTAACGTATGAGTTATGAATTAGGGGAAGAATTTTGTCAGGAATCCGAAACTTTAAATCAAATTTAGATCCGACTTCCGTTTCGGAAGTTATGGCGTTTTGAAATTTCGGAAAATCGATCTGATGGTATCCTGATAGAAAGTCAAGAGTAGAGAAGAAAATATTGAAAAATTCATCCATCCTTCCTATCTGATCCTATCCTATCCTTCCTATCAATCCTTCCTTCGTATCCTTTCCTTGCTATCCTTCCTATCCTCTCCTATCATATCCTTTCTTCATATTCTGTTCTATCCTATTCTTCTTTCTTATTCTATCCTATCGTTCCTTCCCATTCTATCCTATCCTACCTTCCTATTTTATCCATCCATCTTATTCTGGATGACTCAGCTTATTCTGGATGACTCGGCTTATTTTAGATGACTAGGCTTAAAAAAGTCTAGATCTGGAGTCTGAAATTGAACTTCGTTCAATTTCCAAAGTCTAGTTAATATTGCATTTTAAGAACTTTTTTTGCACAAGCAAACAAGCAACTCTCGCATAGGTAACCGGTCCTTACTTCGAAAACGTCTAAAAAATGGGAAATATGTTATCTACAGCACAAATAGTTTGTAAAATCCATACCTTATTCAAATAAAACGTTATTCTTAAAAAGAAACGATTTACGTCTTTGGGCCACCCATCCAAAGTAATGTAACATTATATAAGTACACATTAACAACAAGATGTGTGACAATTACAGAATTCATATATTGTACATTTTGTAGTTGATAATAAGGACGACGTCCCCAAGCTAGAACTAACTGGTACAGGGGTCTGCACAAATCAAAGATGGAGGGAAGGCATATACTGTATCCGCCAAAGTATCCGTTACAATGGTTATCCAGTCTACAAGCAAATGATCGGAAACGAGTATCTTTACTTTAAGAATGAAAACTGGGTTGTTGGGCCCGAAGTCGGTGGGGATAACTTTGGCATTCAGGTAAATATGGAAACAGCAAATCTCATGTGCTTTGATGGCGTTCAATGGGTCACTGAATTAAATCTTGCGTTGGAAGAATCACAATTGTGCAAGAACATTTGGGCAAGCGGGCTTGACACGACGGGAGGAAACGCAGCTCTAAATGGGATGTATACTAGAGGAGAAGATGGCGTGTATACAAAAGTAGGAAACACAGCAATTACCATATATAAAACGGCTACTGGTTGGGAAATTAGTACGTCAGATAATACATATGATTTTGCATTTGGATCAACGGAAATGGATATAACTCTTGTTCCAAACACTTGGACTATAGGCTCAGACATTGTGAAATTTGAATGTTATTTTGGACCAGAACCTTGTGAGAGAGTATTCGTGGACGGCAGTGACACAAGGCGTGGTAACATGGGTTTCTTCAAACTCGAGGGATCCTTGCACCAAAGAACCCCTTTGTACATTCACGAGTTTGGTGAACGGCATCTCTACCGTACTGAAGTTGATTCCTCGTCCAAGTTTTGGGTAATAGGAAAAGGGCTGACTAGCTACACCCAGGAAATACGTGTATCAACGACTGCCCTTGTTCCAAATAATATCAGTCCAGCTGACCAGTGGGAAGTTATCGACGGGAGTTGGGATAACTGGTTTCCGAAACCTGTGACAGCTGAATGCGTAGAAGCCAGTGGTAAGTATTATGTATACTCACAAATGCGCCGATAGGCAGTTACCAGTTTTTTCCACAAATCGGATGCAGATTTTATTATCACCTTCCGATAAAAAATCCAAATTCACCTGAAACTATACTATTATTTCAAAATGAATGTACTGCTTTGATTATCACATCGATGTATTTAAGTTCAACAAGTTAAACCCAATACCACGGCTTTCATTAAATTAATCTGAATGTTCGTGTTGCCATGATTGGGCTTAACTTTCGTGCTATGCTTTCATTGGTAGCAAATTCTCACAATCAGTTATTACTTAAGGCGAAGCTAAATTAAAAAAAAGTACAAAAAATGACTGCCATCTATTTTTGATGAAGACACATGTTTTTAAAATCTGTTTACCTTGTATATGAATTGCATATCTTGACTAAAGAAACATGTCGAAGTTAACATCACACATAAACGAACTTTTCAAAACTATGAATTGGAGGTACATGGATCCCCAAAGCTAGCACGAAGAGTGTGAAGTGAGGCCATTTTTTGAAAGTTTCATGGAGTACCTTTGTAACAGTCACACATTTGCAAGAGTCAAAAATTTCTACAAATCATCTTACCTTTCCCAGGAACTTCCTGATTAATCCTCATACAAATTTTGTGACTACACCGAGTGGCATGGACTATCCCTTGCATATTTTATATATTACAGTATAATTATCATAATAGATACATGATAGCGGCTATAGAATGATAAACAATGGATACATGACGAATGATAACTCTGGACTAAAATAATAGTTCCAGCAAACAAAATGGTGGACATGAAATATTTAGAATTCACAATGGTTTGAGCTTTATTATACTCTAACAACGCAAGAGTACACATTTTCATGCTCCTTCGTTGTTCCTTGGTAAGGTAAGATGATATGTGGAAATTTTGGATTCTTGCAAATGTGTGACTGTTGTAAGGCTACTCCTTAAAACTTTCAGAAAATAGCCTACCGTGGGTTTAAAATGATGATATCCCGGGGATGATATTAAACTGATGTTAACGCCATTTTCACGATTTCAAATTTTACTTTGCGCATGCGTAGCTCTGAGAGAGCACGTGTTTATGTTTGTTCACGTGATTGCATCCTGCAATTTGATTGGAGATGATGTAGGAGATGACGTAAACGGGAATACGACAGAATATGAAAGAATTATGGGAGCTACTCACTTCTTCTGCCTTTTAAGAGCAATTAGTATATGTTTTTTACAACTTTACTGCATTCTATGTATAATATAAACTGATTTGGATAAGGATAACTAGCTCACTGACTAAAGGTTATGTACCAATTAATAAGTGTATTTGGAGGATTTTTCTATAGCTATTGTGTAGCAAAGAAACAAAGAATGTAAAATATTTATATCTAAAGTATGACCTGAATCGACCTCAAACTTGATATTTCCACATCTGATGAGATATACCATTTGTGTCACTGGACCAATTTCCATTTCCATTTCTAACCTTCTTGACTTTGATATTCAAAGAATGACGGACGGACGGACGGATTCTCAATATCCCCCTTGAACTTCGTTTGGTGGGATAATTATTAATGGATGTACTTGGACAATTTCCATTTAACCTTCTTGACTTTGATATTTAAACAGTGACGGACGGACGGATTCTCAATATCCCCCTTGAACTTCGTTCGGTGGGATAATTATTAATGGATATAGTGGACCAATTTTCATCTAAAAAAATTTATATTTAATTTAAAATGTATTCAGTAAAATGATTTACGTAACATATACTAGTATATTTTAATACAAAAGATTACTTACTCATCATTATGATTTTATATCATCGGTCTTTTGAGTGTTACGTAATCATTCTTTTATTATACTACTTGTTTGGTTGCACTATTTCCTATTTTGAATATATTTTCTATGTAATATGTACATATTTTAGTCAAGCAGCCCCCGTGTGACGAAATATTCATATCCATAAATGGGGATACTGGTGATGTTCAACAAACAGGAAGACTTGGTCTATACAAACTACAAGCCGATGAATACAAAAACCGACCAGCATATGCGTCCATTGGGAATACAAACTACTTATTCTACACAGAATCTGGCACCTGGTATATAAGTGGTAGTTTAGGAAGCGGAGGGCGTGCAATCGACTTTAGACAAGCCGTTGAATACCCACAAGAGTTTACCGTAACACCAGTAGGGTATGACGGTAGTTCTTTCGTACCAATGACCGGAGTGGGAGTTACTTGTCTAATACGTACGTTACTTTTTATAGCTTCTTTTGCAGTTCTAGACAAATTATTCAAATTTTTATCCTTGACTTGTCATCGTTACCCTCTTTTCTCTGGACATGGTTACCATAATGTGTTTAAAACCCATTTAACCCCTCTTGTTTTTGTTTTAAAGTTCTTTAATTATCTTTAAAATTAAATGTAGAAGTATATTTGATCATTAGCACAGAACTCAAAAATTAATTAAGAGACAAAAATGTATCCAAAACTTACCTTACATAAATATGGTAACAAAACATACGGATCTTAATCATCACTAAACTTTTAGGAAAATCAAAAAATTGCCAAATTCCTTCACTTAATGATTCTCATGGCAGTCCTCACTTGGACAGTCGAAGTAGGGCAAATCTTTTTCTTTCTCATTTTATTGAAAAATATCACATCAATGAAGATAATGGGCATTTTATTCTAAATCCAAAAACACAAGCAGTTTTTGACATTTTATCAACACATGAAAAGGAAATTTATGATATACTCTTCTCACTTGATATAAATAAGGCAATTGGGCCACACATGATAAGCAATCTAATGATGAAAATAGCCGCTCCATCTCTTTCTCCAATTCTTTCCAAATTATTTAATACAATTTTTCGTCTCAATAAATCCTCAAAATTTGGAAAGTGGGAAATGTTGTTCCAATACACAAAAGGGGGATAAACAAATGTTCAAAATTTTTCGGCCAATTACTTTGTTAAGCTGCCTGACAAAAGTAGCCTAACGCTGCGTTGCTTTTAAAAAGCTATTTGATCTGAGTCAAAATGCCTTATTTTATACAATGCAAAGTCGATTTTTACCACATCATAGCTCACAGCTTCAACTCTTAAGTATTATAAATTATATTACTGAACAACTCGAGAGCGAAGTTATGGTTTGCGGAGTTTTCTTGGACATAAGCGCAGCTTTTGATTCCCTTTCCGCATAGTCTTTTAACAGAAAAATTAAAACCTATGGAATTCGGCCAAATGTGTTGTCCTTTCTGAAATCATACCTTTCGAACAGACAAATTAGGGTTAGCATCTCTGACCTTTCAGAACCTAATTTTTGAAATGCAGGAGTTCCTCAAGGCTCAATTTTAGGCCCCTCTTATTTCTATTATACATAAATGACCTCCCAGATTACCTTATCAGTAAATGTTTCATATATGCAGATGGAGCCTCTATTTACCAATCTTTTGCAAGTAAAAATGTAGCTGAAAAGAACAATATTTTGCAACAAGACTTAAATTCTATTTCACAATTTTCAAAAACATGGAAACTCTATTTCAAAGTTTGTAAAAGTAAAGATCTAATATTTTCAAACCCACGTAAAACTTTTGTACAATCACCTGATCTTAAATTAGGTGATAACTTTATTCCGCGTGTTGACCATCATAAGCATCTAGGTTTTACACTTGACAAACATTTGACTTTCGAAAATCACATTAAAGAAATTGGAAACAAAATTGATAAGAAACTAAATCTGCTTAAATCTCTTAGTCGAAAGAGAGGTGGAAAACACCTAGAATTCATGTTTAAATCCTTTATCTTAACTTTATTTGACTATTGTGATATTATCTATGGATCTTAAATTGCTTAACAGTCCAAACTCGCCAATGTTATCTGAATGGAGAAAGATGCACAGATATGTTCTTATGTATAGTCCATATCTCAAAACGTATTAAGACCCATTTTTCAAAAACTACATTATTTTTTACATATTCAATTCTAATATAAAAATGATTTGTTTATACCATTTACATCGCCAATATTGAGAAAAGTAATATCAAAATCATGGTTGAGAAACCTAAAATATACACTCAAAATTTATTTCATATAATCTTCTGTAGCAATATGTACTCCAAATTGTAAAAGGGGAGATTTAGCTTTTACAAATATTTGTGACCCCTGCTAATGACACGCATAATTCAGCCCAAAAGCCCGAGGAATATTGACCGTCTATAATAAAAAAAGAATACTGGACATGTGTAAGTATGTAAATATTTGGTATTCGGAGCACTATTATAAGTTAATGAATGATTTGAAGTACAATAAAGGATATATTCTGCTCGAGAAATTCCGTATTGGAGCGAGACGAAGTCGAGTGCCAATACAGAATATCGAGACAGAATATATCATGTATTGCACTTCAAATCATTCTCTAACGTTTTTATCGTGTGATCCTCTGTATTGCTACTGAGAATGTCCCCTCCGTACCAATATTTTCTGTATTGCGACGGAATTGATCAATGGGGACAATCTCAGTAGCAATACAGATTGGTACAGCACAAGAACTGACCAATCAGAAGGCTTCATTTTACAGATCATACGATAAATTGTGTTACCAGCTCCTTAATTAGGCGTCCTAGGAATTTCATACCATGGACTATATTTTCCAGCTAGTGCATCTTGCGAGTCAGTACAACTTACGTCTGGTTTAGCATTTTTGGAAGGTACTTACTCAAAAAACACGGACCTGTACGATGAAAGACCGACGTATAAAAAAGATGGGGTCGAGAAATACATTTATTATCTTGCAATCTATAAACGCTGGAATATTGGTTCAATCATTGGAGCCACCTCGATTAACGCGTTGGTATCTAGTATTGCGATGAGCCCTACGGATATAAGCCCCGTGTGGAGGATTTATTCAGGTAGCTGGCAGGATGATCCCACTATGGAAGCAGCATGTTTAGACGGTAATTACTTTCTATTTTGTTCCTAAATGTTCATTGGTTGAGTACCCTGACCAGACAAAGTCTTTTTTAGAGTTGTGTAATATCAAAAGGGAATATGTAACGTGTTGCGTCGAACACAGTTCCATAATTCTATCCAACTTCTCATCTCGGTTTGAGATTCGATACGCCCCGGTGAGTTAGTACCGCGTGGTCTCGTTAGCTTTGAGCATGTCTCGTTTTTAACGGTAAAGCTAAAGTTACAAGTAGGTGTTCACAGTGACGCCTTCACTGAAAAGTATTTTCGTTTAAAACTTGAAGAATTGAACATGAACTATTTGCAAGTGACCTAAATGACATAAATTCTCATTGAATTTTACAATCTAATGCTCAGATAATTATAACGAATGGTCAAAAATTCAAACACAGTGCAAAGGTCGTTTTGCTATAGTAGTCTATAGATGAATTCAACATAATTTGATAAATTAGGAACTAGAAGCATGAATTCAATCCTTATTATTTTTTACACAACATCATCGAATATATTGTTACTATTGCTACAGCACCAACGACAACAACGGCAGCCCCGACGACAACAACGGCGGCACAAACGACAACAACGGCGGCACAAACGACAACAACGGCAGCACCAACTACAACAACGGCAGCACCAACGACAACAACGGCAGCCCCGACGACAACAACGGCAGCACCAACTACAACAACGGCAGCACCAACTACAACAACGGCAGCACCGACGACAACAACGGCAGCCCCGACGACAACAACGGCAGCCCCGACGACAACAACGGCGGCACCAACGACAACAACGGCAGCCCCGACGACAACAACGGCGGCACCAACGACAACAACGGCAGCACCAACTACAACAACGGCAGCACCAACGACAACAACGGCAGCCCCGACGACAACAACGGCAGCACCAACGACAACAACGGCAGCACCAACGACAACAACGGCAGCCCCGACGACAACAACGGCAGCCCCGACGACAACAACGGCGGCACCAACGACAACAACGGCAGCACCAACGACAACAACGGCAGCACCAACGACAACAACGGCAGCTCCGACGACAACAACAGCAGCACCAACGACAACAACGGCAGCTCCGACGACAACAACGGCAGCCCCGACGACAACAACGGCGGCACCAACGACAACAACGGCAGCTCCGACGACAACAACGGCAGCCCCGACGACAACAACGGCGGCACCAACGACAACAACGGCAGCACCAACTACAACAACGGCAGCACCAACAACAACAACGGCAGCACCAACTACAACAACGGCAGCACCAACTACAACAACGGCAGCCCCGACGACAACAACGGCGGCACCAACGACAACAACGGCAGCACCAACTACAACAACGGCAGCACCAACGACAACAACGGCAGCCCCGACGACAACAACGGCGGCACCAACGACAACAACGGCAGCACCAACGACAACAACGGCAGCACCAACGACAACAACGGCAGCCCCGACGACAACAACAGCAGCCCCGACGACAACAACGGCGGCACCAACGACAACAACGGCAGCACCAACCACAACAACGGCAGCACCAACTACAACAACGGCAGCACCAACGACAACAACGGCAGCTCCGACGACAACAACGGCAGCACCAACTACTACCACGGCAGCACCAACGACAACAACGGCAGCACCAACTACAACAACGGCAGCACCAACAACAACAACGGCAGCACCAACTACAACAACGGCAGCACCAACTACAACAACGGCAGCCCCGACGACAACAACAACGGCGGCACCAACGACAACAACGGCAGCACCAACTACAACAACGGCAGCACCAACTACAACAACGGCAGCCCCGACGACAACAACGGCGGCACCTACCACAACAACCTTAAGTCCATTAGAGGTAGTTTATTAATTTCTAAATAGACAAGTTTCAACATTAGGCATTTTTCTAATTACTTTTCTGATTTGTTCAACAGTGCATTTTAATTTCCTTAGGGTCCACAATACATACTGGAGAAATAGTTGCGACATTAATGAAAGATTAGGGAGTTTTCTATTTTAAGTTCAGTAATGAAATGGTTAAATTGAAAATTTATTATCCGAAGATATGGATTCCCACTACCTCTCAGTATTTTGCAACTGAGAATTAAAAAGTTATCAGGAAAAAGAAAAAGAGGTGGATGACTTGTTCTGTGCCGGCTGTTAAGTTAATTAAGACAGTTAAGGATTTAAACCCTTGATTCAGTGCAATTTATGCATGCTGAATCATTCCATTTAAGGTGTTTCCACTGGTAATGCAAAGTTTAGGAAACAACGCGAGTAGAATGGCGCAATGCATCAAGCCTAAAAGTTACAAAATCACTAAATAACATATTTTTAATGCACATTTTTGCAAGGGTCGAGTTGGCAAAGTATCTATTTCAATCTGTCAGTCCAATTATTACCTTGACAACCATACTATATACAAAGGCCTTATTGGTTATATAACGGAATGTAGTTAAGTGATATAGCGTGTTCTGATTGGTTTGAATTGAACACACCTCGCTTAGCTATGTGTGAATCTCTAATATTGGTTTATAATAAGCAAAATTAAAAGTAGTCTTTGAAGCCCTATGACGTGAAGTGTTTGCGCTATGTATCAATAAGGTATGAGGTTCCATATCCATCCGCCAAAAGGTATGACCCCTAGTATATAGTCAATTTAAAAACTTGTGGTTTTGTTCTAAATAACACCATGATTGGCTTCTAGGGTACCTAGTATGCCACTATTTGATATCAATATAAAGAGGAGGAGTTCAACTTTCATTTGAATTACGAAAATAGCGATGTAGGTCAAAATAGTTCCGATGTGATCACGTTTACTACGCGTTTGCCCGTCATCTCAGAATTGAGAAAATGGTAGCAAACGCGAGTTACAATAAATGGACGCTGATATCTCAAAAAGTAATCTGACTCCCTATAATTTGATGGAGATCAATTGAACCCTATATGAACAGGTACATTTTGATATATAACACTATGGAGGGTAAACGTTTTATAGTTGATCACGAACGCCATATGTGCAAAGTACATGTATTGTTCTGAATTTTCGAATTTGGTGTTGGATTACGGTACTCATACTATAATAATGATGAACAATTTTATGCCAGTAAAACAATTATCTGTGATAAAAGTGAGGCAACAGGGAATAATCCAAAAATATCAATAGTCCGCAATTTGCTATGCCTTTAGCATAGCTACTTAAAAACAAATAAATTAAAATAAGTGATATGACAGAAATGGACATTTCAACGTTCATATGCAGCGTTATCCTAGCGTCTGGTAATTTTCCTTCAACACAAAAATTAAGAAACCATATTAGAGATGTTTCCTCGTAAACATAATTTACATTGCAATTTATATTCAGAGATTACGAAGGTTGAGAGAGGCAAGAAAAGCGGCAAGAAAAGCAGCGAAAGAAGCAAGAAAAGCAGCAAGAAAAGCAGCGAAAGAGGCAGCGAAAGTGGTAAGAAAGGCAAGAAAAGAGGCAAGAAAAGCGGCGCGAAAGGCAAGAAAAGGCGCTAGAAAAGCGGTGAAAAAAGCAAGAAAGGCTGCGAAAAGGGCAAGGAAAGCAAGAAGGGTAGGACTATTCAATATATCTTTTCTCCTATATTGTCAATTTTTCAGAGTTGAACAGAATGATTCAAAACACAAATTAACGGCGATGCTTTACTAATATTAGTCATCCATGGGGAAATATTCAGTTGACGTAGATAAACCTTTTTCAGCATACTTTCTAATCAAGCACAATCATTTTTTTTTTATTAAAATTTTCATTCCAAAAAATATAACATATGAACATATAATACATTAAAAATATATAAACAATACAGGTACAGAAAAACACTTAACTTTTTTCTAATAAAATATTACAAATTCTTTTTAACATATCAAAATCTATATTGAATTTATTTAGTAGAAATACACTGTTGTAAGATAAAAGGTCTGATAAAACTTGCTGTCTAAAATTAATTTGTCTGAAGACATCTGGCTTTTCATTAAGGTTTGTCCATCTTTCATATATTGAATTTGCAACAATAGTTAAAATAATACGAGGGGTGATCCAAAAGTCTTGGACGTCCTGCTCTAATTTTGTTCGTTTTTATTAATAAAATTACTTTAAACTTTCCAATAATAAAGACCAACAACCTAACTACTTTGTGTATTAATTTCACGGTGAAATGATATATTTTATGTAGTTTTCTCGATAGTTATTAATATAGTGGCCCTGCTACCCGGAACGGTATTCGCACATGGCAACTTTCAGCCTTAAATGTTGCTGCTATTTGACTAGTCTTGGTTTTCAAGTCTTGACTACTATCCTTCCTTAAATTTTGAATGTTAAACCATGTTAGTTTACTCTCTTTGTTACCAGGCAATCATAATGTCACATATGACAATGGCCGTATATATATGTCAAGTTCTCAAGAATTGACATCAGACAATCAACCCTCATTCTGGTATCATTTTTGCTCCAAGATGGCTGCTGAAATGCAGAACATGAAAGAAATCAAAGTGGAACAAAGAATACTACAATATATTTTCACTATCATTGACCTTGAGCAGCTACCATATGCACGATACAGTCTAGATATGGCTCCGTGAGATTTTCTTCCTTTTCTCCAAGTTGAAAGGAAGGTTGAAAGAAAATGATTTTTACTCATTGGATGAGGTTTAGAGTGGCACTCCAGCAGCATTTGTATCACATAAGCAATGGCGGTTTCATAAATGGCTTTCATTCATTGGTAAAGCGGTATGAAAAATGTGTTCAAATTCGTGGAAAATATGTTAAAAAGAAGGTCTTTTAAATATGTGAAGATGATGATGGCAGATGACACTCAGACTGAAAATCGGATATTCTCTCATATCATGACTGGTGTTAGGTTGTGCACCTGAACCTAAAGTATTTGCCATATTATAACAGTTGTGACGTGATTTGCTATATTTAAATACCGTTCCAGGTGGCAGGGACCCGGTATCAAAATATATTTAAAAGTAGCTAAAATATATCATTTTCTGTTACAACTTATACACAAATTTGTTAAGATGTTAATCTTTATTATCTGAAAGTTTCATGTTATTATATTAGAAAATAGCAAAGTTAGAGCGGGGCGTCCAAGACTTTTGGATCACCCCTCGTATTTCTATTTCTAGTTTTTCTGTCGATTGTGTTAAAACCTACAACAATGTGTTTCCATTGAACATTAAAATTCAAAATAACTCCAACATCTTCCCAAATACTTCTAACCTTTTGGCAATCAAAAATAAGATGTTTCGCTGTGTGATTTTCATTACAAAAAATGCAGGTTGAACTTATATTTCTGTTCCATTTACTAATCATGTATCCAAAGTATAAACAATTATGAAGAATTTTAGAATTAAAATCAGAACTTTTTTTACATGCCATTTCTTTTATTTTTTGCCTGTATATGATTTTGAAATAATTATTTGTATTTTCAAAATTGAACATTGTACTCTAGACATTTTCTAAATTTGATCTCTCGAACTGTTTATTTCTTAAGCACAATCATAGAGTTAAAAGCAAACAAAAAAGACGAGACTATTATAAAACCCGCGGGCGCCGGCCGATAAATGTGAATCGGCCGATATCCGATGAGTTGGGGTGAGAAAAATTTAGGAAGACATCGGCAACTTATCTGTCCGCGGTAAAAAGCTCCTACCAATCGACTATGGTGCCAAAAGTGGCTCAAAATTCAATTTAGTTTTACATTTGACAAGCTTTAGAAATTAGAAACATATTCAAACGTCAAATAAGAAATTTGTATCAGAGAGATTTGTATCAAATTAAAAAAGATCTGAAATCAAAGCAATTTTTTCAGAAACATTAAAAGGAAAAATAAATTTAAAGTAAATGTTAAGAACTTCAAATAAGAATAACGTATGTCGAATAAGAAAAATAATAATGTTAAATGCATTGTGTTCTATAGTTCAAAGTAAAAAGTACATGACATCAAACCAACTTTTATGTACAAACTTTTATTCATTTTTCATATTTGAACGTTTCATTTTGGTATTTGATATATACATATTTCTTATTCGAACTTTTCATTTTTCTATTCAAACTGTTCGTCAATTCTTCAATTTATGTCGCACATACGCATTACATCAATATTTCATTTTTGGAGCGGTAAAGGTAAGACAAAGCACTAGATTTTCTCTCATTTTTCTGAATTCTCGTACATTTAATGGTATATTAATCGTGAAAAGCATGCTTGTAAATATACAACTATCACAAGTAGGATTTTCCGAGTCACCATTATTGTATTTGTGAATGGATCCGCATGGGGCGTACTAATAATATATAATATCATCACGGAACGCATGCGCAGACTCGAGAATGCCGAACTGTTTGAATATAAATTGAGCTTGAGATTGTCGATTTCTTAGTTCGAACATGGGCATTCAACTTTTGTAACATTTTGGTTCGAACATTTTATTCGAAATTTTGAAATACGAGTTATCAAACATAGAATTGAAAAAATCGGACAAAATTGTAATAGTTTGAATTGATAAGTGATATTCAAATAGCAAAATTGAAATATCAAATTATAATGTGTTGATAGTATTTTGATACATTAAGAATGCACCAATGTGCATTATGTGTTGATAGATTCACCGATCGCACCAATGCACATTACATGTTGATACATAACTGATTGCACGCATGCACATTATATGTTGATATATTCACTGATCGCACCAAAGCGCATTACATGTTGATACATAACTGTTTGCACGCATGCGCATTATATGTTGATACATTCACTGATTGTACCCATGCATATTATAATGTGTTGATACATTCACCGATCGCACCAATGCGCATTACATGTTGATACATAACCGATCGCACCAATGCGTGTACATGTTGATACATAACCGATTGCACGCATGCGCATTATATGTTGATACATTCACTGATTGTACCCATGCATATTAAAATGTGTTGATACATTAACTGATTGCACCAATGTGCATTATGTGTTGATACATTCGCTGATTGTACACATGCAAATTATAATGTGTTGATACTTTCACCGATCGCACCAATGCGCATTACACGTTGATACATAACTGATTGCACGTATGCGCATTATATGTTGATACATTCACTGATTGTACCCATGCATATTATAATGTGTTGATACATTCACCGATCGCACCAATGCGCATTACATGTTGATACATAACCGATTGCACGCATGCGCATTATATGTTGATACATTCACTGATTGTACCCATGCATATTTTAATGTGTTTATACATTAACCGATCACACCAATGTGCATTATATGTTGATACATAACTGATTGCATGCATGCGCATTATATGTTGATACATTCACTGATTGTGCCCATGCATATTTTAATGTGTTTATACATTAACCGATCACACCAATGTGCATTATATGTTGATACATAACTGATTGCATGCATGCGCATTATATGTTGATACATTCACTGATTGTGCCCATGCATATTTTAATGTGTTTATACATTAACCGATCACACCAATGTGCATTACATGTTGATACATTCACTGATTGCACCCATGCAAATTATAATGTGTTGATACATTCACCTATCACACCAATGCGCATTACATGTTGATACATAACTGATTGCACGCATGCGCGTTATATGTTGATACATTCACTGATTGCACCAATGCGCATTACATGTTGATACATAACTGATTGCACGCATGCGCATTATATGTTGATACATTCACTGATTGCACCCATGCAAATTATAATGTGTTGATACATTCACCTATCACACCAATGCGCATACATGTTGATACATAACTGATTGCACGCATGCGCGTTATATGTTGATACATTCACTGATTGTACCCATGCAAATTATAATGTGTTGATACATTCAGAATGCACCAATGTGCATTATGTGTTGATAAATTCACCGATCGCACCAAAGCTCATTACATGTTGATACATAACTGATTGCACGCATGCACATTATATGTTGATACATTCACTGATTGTACCCATGCAAATTATAATGTGTTGATACATTAATTGATTGCACCAATGCGCATTATGTGTTGATACATTCACCGATCGCACCAAAGCTCATTACATGTTGATACATAACTGATTGCACGCATGCACATTATATGTTGATACATTCACTGATTGTACCCATGCAAATTATAATGTGTTGATACATTAACTGATTGCACCAATGCGCATTATGTGTTGATAAATTCACTGATCGCACCAAAGCGCATTACATGTTGATACATAACTGATTGCACGCATGCACATTGTATGTTGATACATTCACTGATTGTACCCATGCAAATTATAATGTGTTGATACATTAACTGATTGCACCAATGCGCATTATGTGTTGATACATTCACCGATCGCACCAATGCGTGTACATGTTGATACATAACTGATTGCACGCATGCGCATTATATATTGGCACATTCACTGATTGCACGCATGCGCATTACATGTTGATACATTCACTGATAACACCCATGTGCATTATGCTTCGACCAATACATTTTGTGACCGTTGTTTATTTATTAAATATATCACCGTCATTTGTTACAGAGACTTTGGAGAAGCAAATAGGAAGATTGAAAATAAGAAGAAAGGGAGACGCATGAAGAAATATAAGAACGTCCAACATTAAATTAACTTTGCAATCTTACGTAAAATAAAGAATAACAACAGCAATTAATGTTTGTTTGTATTGTCTTTTATAACATAACATGCTTTTCCTGAAAAAAAAACAGCTGATTCCTTATCAGCCAAAATCCCATATCAGATCCCGTATACTGGATCCGTATCAGCCAAAACCCCGTACCAGATCCCATATTTTTTTATTTATTATTTTTTATTATTTATTTCTTATTCATGTAATATAATTAATAGATACCCATAGGGAGTATATCAGTGCATAAACAAAAATTGGAAAACCGATAAAGGTGTACAATTTATATGAGTTGAGCATGAAGACAGACAATTTATAATAATACATGATATAAAATATATAATTAATGCCTGCACACAGATAAATCAAAAAGTTGAATTATAAACATCATGGATACAACACAATGTGGAAAAATAACATTACAATGCTTACAGCTTATAGCTTAATAACAATTTATTAATTTTTTGTAATTATATTTAAAGGAGTGTAGAGATGGTAGAGATTGAAGGGAAGTTGGCAATTTGTTCCATATCATTGATCCGGAGTATTGAACAGTTTTTTGTTAAGTTTGATTTAAATCTACATGGAATAAGATGTCGTATTTGTCTTGTTAGACGAGAGTGTTTGAAATAAAAATACTGTTTGAATAGATGGGAAGGAAAAATTGCAGGCTCATTTACAGTGTTAAACATGAATTTTGCTTTTTCTAACTTGTGAATATCAAATATGGTTAAGATATGTAGTTGCTTGAAATATCATTACTTATCCAGGATCTTGGCAATTTCGATTTTTTGATGAAATTTGTTTAATCCAAAAAAATACATTTCAGGTTCGAAATTTTCGATTTATCGATTTCACTAGTTTAATCGAAAAATTATATAATTCGATTTTTTGATATTTTCGATGAAATTATATCGAAAAAAATACATTTCATGTTTCGATATTTTCGATTCTTCGATAACATCAGTTCAATCGAAAAACATGTTTCGATTTTTTGATATTTTCGATGAAATTATATCGAAAAAAATACATTTCATGTTTCGATATTTTCGATTCTTCGATTACATCAGTTTAATCGAAAAAACATGTTTCGATTTTTTCGAGATTTTATGGTTTATTTTTGAATCATTCAAATTTGCGGCAAGAGCACATTAGCAACCAAATTAGCGGTACGGTAGTAAATGTATTAACATATGATTACGCATGTCATCTTAAAAGATATTTACAAAAAGACCAAGTGTATTTAATGACAATATGAAATCAAAGATCATCAAAATTTATTGGAGGTGATATTTTAAGAATAAATATGGATTAAAAAGTGACTTTTGATTGATATTGGTTACTTTGACATACTGTCTTTAATTCATAAATATACACATAATATAAGACCTATCTCTTACATATTCATAGCACTAGCAGAAGATACCCTAAAGTGCCTCAAGTAAAGGAATTTGGGTTATCCATTGCTTGTGGATTTGCTTCCTACTTTTTGGTAGAAACGCTATGAAGTTCTCATTGCGTTGTTCCGGTATGGGATCTTTTGACATGCTATCTTGAATTTATTAGTATTCACATACCATTTACCTGATCTTTTTCATATATTTGTACTTTGCTACTTTGTACTTTGTACGAATTTTCAATTAATTTGGTTCCTCATTTGCCGAGAAAATACTTATCAAAAAGTGTCTCATTTTTGGGACACCCAATATCAGGGTGCGCCAAAACATTTTGCAACTTTTTTAAAAGGCAAGAAAAATATCATAACATTTAGGTATTGACATAAAAAAATGATTTACTTCTTATCGAAGACGTAGATGATTTGATTGGAGGTCAAGAAAAAATCAATACCACGAAGAAAATAAAAAAGATTATGGAATAGATTATTGATGATCGTGATAGAATATGAACCTCCATAAGTTTGGCTACTCTAACCCACTCATTGGATTATATGTTAATTAAGGATTTAAGCCTTGAACTCAGTGCATTGTGTGCTGAACCATTCCACGAAGATGTTGCCTTCAAATCATTGCATGAGCCCGCAGGGGGAATGCAAAGTTTACGAAACAACATCTTAGTGGAATGAGTGGAAATTGGCTGGAATCGGATACACCTTAACTTGGTTGGAGAGACGTTACATCAAAGATTGTAGTAGACAAAATTATGTTAATGTGGCACTTGTTATCAATGAACAATGTATTTAAGATGATTGCGATAATGAGAATCATAGCGTATAGAACACGTGATCTAGCTTTAGTGTCCCCTCTTGGTGATTGCATGAGAGAACCTGAACGTCTAGTCATTCAACACAAAATATATGAAATGATAGATACAGGAATAGTACCAAGTAATTGCGAATGAAAGAAGATGGTGTCAGATAATACAAGAGCATATGCAATGTGGCAATGGAAAATACAATGTATGTTCAATCACAACACTTCCATATATAATAAAATATAACTAGACATGTAAATTGAACAAGTTCAATTTAAGACTCCAGATTTCACATTTTTTTTAAGCTGAGTCATCCAGAACTTGTAAGCTGAGTCATTCAGAATAAGCTGAGTCAGCTAGAATATAGACATTTAGACAACTTTTAAGAAGGCTATCTTCGACTCTATTAGCTTAACATGGGGATATCATCATATCGACTTTTCGAGACTTCAAACCGCTATAACTATCTAACCAGAAGTTAGATCGAAATTTGGTTTAAAGATTCTGATTCCTGAGAAAATTCTACCCTTAATTCATAACTCATACGTTAAATTTGGATAATTTTTTATTTTGACCTACATTTCGGACACCATATCTCAAAAGTGGGTCAAAAATCTTTCTGACGGCAGAAGGCTAACACTATAAGCACACTCTTTGCTACCTGTATACAAAATTTTGAAGCAAATCCTTAAAGTGTAATGTCAGAATCGCAAAAATAAGGAAAAACTATGAATTTGACCTAGATTTTGACCAAGGCATTTTTGCGTCCAAATTTTAAAGCTAGATAGCCTTCGAGGTCCCCTCCTTTTATAGGCTTTCAGAATATTAAGCTGTACTCAGTCTTTATCTGGTATTTTACACTTCAAAAAATCCTTTTTCTCATTGACATAACATGGGGCACCAAATTTAGCGATTTTTGAGCTTTCAAAACCCCATAACTTTCGAACCGGAAGTCGGATCATAATTTGGTTTGCAGATTTGGATTCCTGACAAAATTCTACCCCTAATTCATAACTCATACGTTAAATTTGGAATTTTTTTTATTTTGACCTACTTTTTGGACACGCCATAACTTCCGAACCGGTAGTCGGATCGAAATTTGGTTTGCAGATTCGGATTCCTGAGAAAATTCTACCCTTAATTCATAACTCATACGTTGAATCTAGAGAATTTTTTATTTTGACCTACTTTTCGGACACCATATCTCAAAAGTGGGTCAAAATACTTTCTGACGGCAAAAGGCTAACACTATTAGCACGCTCTTTGCTACCTGTATACAAAATTTTGAAGTAAATTATTAAAGTGTAGTGTCAGAATCGTAAAAATAAGGAAAAACTATGAATTTGACCTTGATTTTGACCTAGGCATTTTGGTGTCCAAATTTTGAAGCTATGTAGCTTTTGAGGTCCCCTTCTTTTATAAGCATTCATTATGTTAAGCTGTACTCAGTCAATATCCTGTATTTTACACTTCGAAAAAGTCTTTTTTCCCATTGACTTAACATAGGCACCAAATTTAGCGATTTTTGAGCTTTCAAAACGCCATAACTTCCGACCCGGAAGTCCGATCCAAATTTGGTTTGCAGATTTGGATTCCTGAGAAAATTCTACCTCTTTTTCATAGCTCACACATTCGATTTGGAGCATGTTTAGGCGTGACCTACATTTCGGACGCCATATCTCAAAATCGGTAAGAGTAATCAAAATTCTGATGTCATATCTTTGATTCACCTTTTTCTAAGCTACACGATGAAAAAAGATGGAGGAGTTACGAAAAATATTGACGAAGATATGATGAAGAATGTTGAAAATGTAAGATTTGACCTAGTTCTTGACCTTTGACCTAGATAAAAATTTGACCTAATTTCCCAGAAAGCCGGTTTCAGTCTTTAGTTAACCATGTAAGTTGGATTAAGTAAGCTGTTATAGTTGACGAGAAATTTGGTGAGGAGGAAGAAAAAAGAAAGAAAAATAATAACTAGATTTGTGAAATTGAACAAGTTCAATTTAAGACTCCAGATTTATTTTACCTAGATAGATCAGTAAAGAGCTGAGTAATTAACTGAGTAATTAGCTGAGTAAGTACCTTAGTAGTAGTTGAGTAAGTAGCTGAGTAAGTACCTGAGTTAGTAGCTGAGTAAGTAGCTAAGTAAGTAATAACTAATTAAGCAATTGAGTAAGTAGTCAAATAAGTAGCTGAGTAGGTAGGGAGGTAAAGTAGGGTATGTAGGAATTTTTGAAAGTTTATTTGATCAATCTGCATCGTGAATACTGGCAAGTGCGAATTTCAAACTTCAAAATGGCTTAGAATCTTAGCCGGGGGTCGGATTGCAATTTTAATTTCAGATCCGGATTCCTTAGGAAATTCTACCCCTAATTCATAACTCATACGTTAAATTTGGAGAACTTTTTATTTTGACATACATTTCGATCACCATATCTCAAAAGTGGGTCAAAACACTTCTTGACGGCAACAAGTTAACGTTATGAGCACACTCTTTGCTACATGTATACAAAATTTCGAAGAATATCATTGAAGTGTAGTGTCCGAATTGCAACAATAAGAAAAAACTAAGAATTTGACCTAGATTTTGAACTAGGTATTTTGGTGTCCAAATTTTGAAGGAAAGTAGCTTTTGAGGTCCCCTTCTTTTATGGGCTTTCATTATGTTTAGCTGTACTCATTCTATATCTCGTATTTTTACACTTCAAAAAATTATTCGGTCCCACTGATTTAACATGGGGCACCAAATTTAGCGATTTTTGAGATTTCAAAACGCCATAACTTCAGAACAAGAAGTCGGATCGAAATT